GGGGGGGAAGTGGCCCAGTAGACTACACTATATGCTTGGCATTTGTGCCCTGAGGAAAGACTGATAAGACCACGTTTTCAGCTCCTGCAGAGTGATGGATGAATCTAGAGCTGAGTGTTACTTAAGGGGTCCCTGACTAATTGTTTTACATACCTGTATGTCACCAGGCCCTCCTCCACTGGTCTCCCCATTCTCAGCGAGATCTTCTACCAGCACGGAGGGGAAGACGCCCACCCGTCCGTTGATCTCCCCCTCCCAGAAGCCATCGTCCGTCTGAGTGTCGCGGTTCAACAGACGAATCACAGCTCCCTCCGAAAAGGAGAGTTCCTCGTCTGCCTGGCCATCATAATCATAAAGTGCGCGGACAAAAATGACTGTGGAGAGAAAGGGAGACAGAGAGAAAAAGTTATAAGATATACAGAAGGAATAATTATTCTTGGGGAAATGTTGTTCCTTGCTTGCCTGCCCCTCATTTTCATAAAGAGAATGGTACACACTGCTGGAGAGAGGGAGATACAGAGAAGACAGAAAGAAATAATCATTTGGTGTCAGTTTCCCAATGTATTCAGGTAGAGCAGACACATGGCATTAGATTGGCAGAGGAGAAGAAAGAATGTTTGCATAGAAAGCAGGTGAGAAAGGAAGAATACATTATAAATGCAATCTTTATCAAATGTTATGGAGTTTTGCAAAAGATGGTGTTGTCGAAAGGAGAAAAACATTTCCCCTTGTTTTGTTGTCTTTTCGACCAATTGTAATTAACTGCCTTCCTCTTGTCTCTGTTCCAGCGAGTCATGAAATGGAAGCAACCAAAAACAATGATCAAAATAGAAATGGTTGAAGAAAAAATCAGGAGGGACAAAGCTTGTGACACCTGACATAGGTTAGTAGTGTTTTATGGAAAGTGTTTATTTAACTGTGGCTTATGTAGCCTTCAGGGTTTGAATTTACACTTCTACTTCACTTCTTCTTTTACACAACCAACACTTGCCTATTCTTATAACGCTCTGCTTCACAAAAGGACTGTTTTTGATTATCCCAAGCAACTCCAGTGGAGCAGAACACAGACAAATGTTTTAATAGTGGTGCATAATAACCTAATTACAAGAACACCTTGTATACTGAAATTCCTGGCATGCGGTTTAATTATGTCAACTGATAATGTACCATCACTCGGTTTACACAGAGGACTTACTGTTAGTGTCTCCATTGATGCAGCCCGAGTGCAGCTCTGGCTCGGTGGAATTGGACGAGGTGTGGGATCGAGCATCGAGAGTCGCCAGAGACTGGAGCATGCTGAGCAAACTGTTGGAGGTCGGGAACTGCAGGTATTTCTCCGGGACATAGCCAATGAGACCGGTCTTATTGCGCGCCTGGAAACAAACAAGGAACAAGGAACAAAGACAACATTAAAATATGCACGGTAGGAGAAACATGAGCACCAAGAAACCATGCTGTTGTGAAACCAAACAGGACAACACAGAGCTTATAATGAATGCTTAGGTTGTTGAAGTTGTTTACATAATGCACATCTGTGTGATTGCATCATTTGTGTACCTTGACCCAGTCCTCCATGTCGCCATCCTCTATGACCTCCAACATCTCCTGCTCATCAATAGTTAACTCATCCGGCTGAGAGGCCTGTGGGAGAGACACAACGACAGGGTTAAAGACAGAAAGAATGTATACAGTACAGTTCAATAAAACATGCTACCATGAACCCATGATTAATAGTTATTTGTACTGTCTGTCTGCATCTTACATGCATATACTGTACAGATGCACGTGATTGTGTATGATTCTGTGTGTAGTGGTTGAACAGGTAGCTGCAGACATTTGATACGTGTAGCTGTGTGACCATGCAGAGGGTAACTGTGTGTGTGTGTGTGTGTGTGTGTGTGTGTGTGTGTGTGTGTGTGTGTGTGTGTGTGTGTGTGTGTGTGTGTGTGTGTGTGTGTGTGTGTGTGTGTGTGTGTGTGTGTGTGTGTGTGTGTCCATTCCCAAGTCATTGTGTTTAGTCATCAAATTTTTGTTGACACAATAAACTCTACACTGGTGAAGAACCAAACAGATGTGTGTTTTGTATATTCTCCATAATAATCTATTCCCTTCCTGAATTTTAATACATACTTTTCCTAAGCCTTTCCTTAAGTTTGTTGTTTTACGTCAATCTTAGAAACTTTACTGCATTTATTTAAAAGTCCGCTGTGCAGCTTTAGGGCCATTCCATTTCATCCCTGAGGTAAAATGACCAGCATGTATTTCCGTAGTAACCCAATAAAGTGTCCCCTTAAGTATATCCCAGTGTGCATAGCAATACAGCTGAGACGAAGACGAATGGATGATTTCATGGTTCCTGAAGCACATGACTGAGAAAGGGATATTGAAATGAAAGCAAAGTCTGCTTGAGGGAATTGAGAGTTCATGGCTTACAGTATATCAGAGTGGTATTAATAAAGTTGAGTGGAATGAAGAGAGGGAGGAGGGGAAGTGCCTGTTCCCCACTGTCATTGTTTTTCTTTGCTTTCCTCAGCAGATTGTTATTCACAAGCCATCCTCCCTTCTCTCTCTGACCAACAGTCACTTCTTGACCTCTCCTTATTGAGCAAACTATTGTTAACAATCCCTCCTACTGTTGTCCATTGCCTTTGTTGTGCCTCATTATTGTAAAAACCTCGTTCTCTGCCGCTGTCGGGCCCTTGAGGCTCCATACGCTCCAAATAAAATCAAAGGCTGTTGAACTGCTGACCCGTGCCTGAATACTCAATATGCCGCCTGGTCTGCTTTTTTAATGACGCCCAGGCAACATGTACAGTATGAGTTTTCAGCAAGTCTAGCTTCCAACTGATTCATCGTATAAATAGCGAGGTTTAAATGATACTGTTAGCATGAACTTCTGCCAAGTAATTGAAAAATAATGTGTGTATCCGCCCAGCGATTTGGATATTCTCCAAAATAAATTGGATGGATTCTTCTCTGGCCCATGCTTCATCATTTAACCCAGATTCATGACAGGGAATATCGAAGTGACTACGTACTCTTTTTGTTGGTCACCAGTTTGTCTGTGAACATTTAAAAAGTGCACTGTGGCCTTAAGGTACGCTCATCTATTTTCATTACTGTTTTTCACATTTCCTCGTCTCTCTCACTTTGCATCCAATTTTACTTCAGCATTATCACTCTGATGCTATCCCCGTCCTCAACTCTTCATCACACCTTTTTCTCGCTGCTGACTCCCCCACATTCTCTCTCCTCCCTCACTCATTTTCTCTCCAACACTCCCTCCCTTACTGCACAGCTCCTTCGATCCTCCCTTCTTTCTTTTTATCTCTTCCTAGATTTCCTTCACCTCAGAATTCCTCTCACTTTCTCACACTCTATATTCTCTCTCTCTCTCTCTCTCCCTCTGGTGTTAGCTGCAAGCTGCAATATCATGTGAGCAGAATGTCAAGTGCTTCCAATGGAGCAGACTCACTATGTTCAATTGTCTTGACACACACACACACACACACACACACACACACACACACACACACACACACACACACACACACACACACACACACACACACACACACACACACACACACACACACACACACACACACACACACACACACACACACACACACACACACGACTACGACGTACGTACGTACGTACG